CTCGTGTGTCATTCAACAAAACTCGTGTTTCATCTAACTGAAATCGTGTCTCATCCAAATGAACTCGTGTTTCATCTAACTGAACTCGTTGCTCATTCAACTGAACCTGTGTGTTGTTAAGTTTAACACAAGCAAATTCAAGATGCTCTCGCATGGCTGACTCAAGATGCGAATCCGCGTTTTTGCGATGAAACTGAAAAGACAAGACAAATCATCTTAGAAAATAGATTGTAAATTTTGGAGTCTTATGGCATATCAGTGGCATATAAATGTTTGTTTTTGCTTAGTAATTTTGAAGAGGCAAGCCTCCAGGTGAGCCTGTTGTTAATAATAACAACTTGTGAGAATTGAAAGATCACTAGAGAAGTAGTGATCTCTTTCATTTTTCTTCGTGAGTTCTGAACTACCAAATGTCTTAGTTTCGACGCCAGTTAAGAAATTAGCTAACATTCATGGGGATTTTCGTTAACGAATAATAGAGACTAGTCTGTGTCACTTTTGACAATGAAATGATTAATGTATTCTGTCTTTTCATAAATTATGCATACCAAGATAGAATGAGCTAGCTCATTCTCTCTTGTGCATCATATGATAACATTCGAAAGAAACAGTTCTATAGGGTATCATCACGTGGCCTGAAATGGGAAAACAAAACATACAAGCTGAAAAGGTCTATTTGTGTAGAAGGCGTGACGAAAAGCCCTAGTAAAAAGTCTACTTTGTCGTGTTGCAATTTAACTGAATCATCCGTCCTGAAAACGATTCTGGCGCAATTAAACAGGAAGACTTGACATGCCAAAACTGACTTTACGAATCTGAGCTATTACCCCTCCACACTTTTAGTCATCAGGATGCGTAGCAACGTAACGCCATAAGTAAAATACTTGATTTATTCAGTTTCAAAGGTGGTTGAAAGAGACTGAGGCCTACTCAATTTGAAAATGATCATGTTATCCACCGCGCCTTGGATATAATTTTTGTTTTAGCCAGTTTTACCTCTTTGTCTCTCAGCTCACCAGTCCAAGAACAACCGTCACTTGGGCATTTGATCACCACTGACAAAATTTTCCTCCCTGTTGCGTTGTCAGGAAATACATCCTACAGTTCAATTAGAAAGAATATTAAACGTAGTGCTCATGATCAATCCAATATGAATCTTTAAGTGTTTAAGAAAAGGATTATGGGAACTGTGGAAAACGTGTAAACAGAGAGGGGTTTAAAAATCCTCTGTAAATAGGTGCCTCTTTGAACTGTCTTGATGATGATGGTGATGATGATGAAGGCAGTTATTAGTACTTGAGATAAATCTCACATTTCACCATGGATAAAAAAATATCAGTGGGTGGATGCGACTGTCTTGTTCTAAAAGCTAAAAGATATCGTGTTTTATCACTTGATAGCAGCTCGTTTCACATTGTTTTTTACCCTGTATGCTTCATTTTGCGTTCAAGCCTTAAATGAATAAATAAATAAATGAATAATAGACAAGACCAAAACGCAATAAACAAAGAGGTTACAAGGTAAATGAAAGGGATTTACCCGGTCTCGGTCCAGGCCTTTCCTATCTGCAGGACAAGTATAAGGCTGGTTCTGAGCTTCCTGTCTGAAGAAATAAACAAATAAACAGTTGAAAAGCGTTCGTTAGGAGCTGGTGTGTTGAAAGTGTAAAATGTGTCTAAAAGCAGTTAATTTCAAATATGGTTTAAGCGTTTGTCCAGAGACCAGTGTTATATCATACATTGAGGCTCACGCATAAATTCCAATCACATCGATACTAACAAATTTTGTGAAACTTAGCTCTCAAGGTTGACTACTAACTCTTCAAGGTTTCTCTCCTATTAGACATAAAATAGATTATTATTCATTCAAAATATTTCCCCGATTCTGATTGGCTAAAAGCACACGCATAATTCACCATAAACATTTACTGATGACCAAATTTGGAAGAATTTTGTGTTTAACGGGGAAATGACGTCAAAAATGCAGCTTTCTTGCAGGTTAATGCACTGTTAACCGAGAAGACCGGTGGACAAGGTTGAGTTGTTTTGGTTGTGAAAACAAAAAATGGCGGACATTCACTCGTTTCAAGAGTAAGAACTAGGCCAAATTATAGCTAAAAACATGGCAAGAACAGCAAGAACACAACTCGAAGGGCGACATCTGCTATTTGGAGAATACTTGCGGAGCTGAACAAACCTAAACGTGTACTATCGAAGGTGAACTTAACATCGATGGAGGTAAGCATGTTTTAGCTTTGTTTTTAAACTAGGAATTATTTTGAATGAATAATAAAACAATTATTGAATTCGGCTTTCGTATCATATGAAGAATTATGGAGATCGAGGAGGGTGTTATCCGCCTCGGCCTATAAAACGGCCTCGACCTCCTCGATCTCCATAATTCTTCATAAGACACTCATTCTCATTCATAAATTGTTAAATAACTTATATTTAACGACTTAGCACAGGCTGTTCGAGCATATATTTAAAATCCACAGTAGCGCGTAAAGCATTTAAAATATTGAAAAACTTTTATGCTCCATTTATTGGAAGACCAGTAGCTCGCGTGCAGACATCTCTTTCCTTTGATCTTCAATTTGTCTCCAAGAAAATAAGAGACATCTACACGCAGGCTAGAAGGCCAGGTTACGCAAGAGCAACCTATCGATCATGTGAAACTAGATTATCCACATTATGACAGCGAACAATGGCTACTCATCTCTAAACAGAGGAAAAAAAAACATTTTGTCATTTCAAAAGTTGATAATAAATAGAAAACAAACTTAACTGATTACTATGCCAATAACATATCTAGAGTAGTCACTAAACTGGCACGAATTTGCCAATACAGATTTTTCAGCTTGCTTTCTAGTCCCCTATTGAAAAATTTAAGTTGAATCAACTGAATAACATTGTCTTCGATCAATAAATCTACTAAGCTAAAACGACAATCTTCTGCCTCAGTAAATTAAGTTCGATTGCTTTTTCGTTGACGAGACGTCCAGGTGTTTTTACTGGAACACAGTGCCGGAGTTCGTACTTTACTTTAAGGCTGGCAAACTTTCGGGTCAAAGTTATTTCAACACTCAACATTCAATAGAATTCAGTCGCTAATGCGTATACCTTCTCAAATGTTCATCAAGGTATGCATTACAAAATCTGTGACCACATCTTGTAAGTACAGGCTCCTTCAACGCCAGTTGACAAATTAAGCAAAGAAAGTCATCTTCAACTTCATACACAAACTCCTCGTCAAAACCTGAAGGTAACTGAGTGTTGCGTGGAGCTTTCGCTATGTTGCGCCAATCTGCTTCTGCGGGCTATTGCGAAAGCGAAACCCTGGTCACAATCTGTGTTTAAGTGTGTCACAATCTATGTTTAAGTGACCTCGAATCGAATTTAACCTCTAGCTACAAGAGAGACTTAAGAAATTTCTTAGGGGTGGTGGGGTGAGTAGTCTATCAGGCTTGTTGAGAATATGGAGAGCCAACCTCTATTTTCGCGCGCAAATAAGCACAGTAACCCTAGGATAAGGCTGGTCTTCTCTTATCTTTCTAATATCTTAAACCACAACGTACAGTAACAGCAATATTGCACTGTTATACATTACTTTGGCACTTTCGTTATGTTTATACAATGTGGTTGCCCATGATCTATTAGAGTACAGGCACATGGATGACGTCTGCCTCGGGAAACTTGTACTTTATCCTCACTGCATATCTATTGTCGCATCGCCGCAAACTGAGGGACGAATCCGAGACTGCCCTGCCAAAAGATATGCAGCAAGGGTTGGTGATGCAGTCAGCGCCACCAGGGGAGGTGGGAGGGGCGAAAAGAGCATCCGTCAAAATGCGAGATTTCACACAGCTGCGCAAAGAATCATAATTGACCCCCGATTGACAAAAACCCTTGGGATCAGAAGAATGCAGGCATGTTTGCGAGACACGCTCATTATATATGCAGAGAGAATAGTTTCTTTTGTTTTGTTCAAAATGGCACGCGGTTTTGCCGAAAATGTTTGCGAGATTATTTGGTCTTATTTCGGATTAGGCAAGTGAAGGCCGCGAAAAACTTTTAGCGGGAGGTGTTTACAGAGAAAACAAATGAAAAATCCGAGGCAGAGAGAGGTCTTGACGACTTTATAATACCTGAACTGGAAGAACTGATCTTCACAGCAGTTGCCATCGTGCGTCATCTCTACGAGAGACTCGCAATTCTGAAAATGTTTTCGCCATTATTCTACTTTGAGGAAGTGAAGGCAATGAAAATCTTTTCTGAGAAACTGTATGCAAGTAAGATAAAGAAGGAAAGAAGGAGCAGAGACGAAAAGTAGCGTCTACAACTTCAAAAATGACCAAAATGGCACAAATCCTCGAACAGTCAAGCGATACGAGGTAAGTATGTCGCTTTTTCTTCTCTCTGCATTGTATAAAACGAATAGATTCCATGTTGCCGCGTGTCTGTTCAGTAATAGATCACAGAAGACGTCAAAATGTAGTAAGAACATCAGTGACATACTCGCGTGCGGCTCGTGTGCCACTTCTTTGTTTGTTGTTTTTGGTTTCCCCTTCGCTTCACGCTTGGTTTTTATTTTGCATATTTATATATGCTCATCTCGCACGTGCGAAAAGAAATGTCACATTCTGATTGGTTGTTTGTTCATAAACTTAAGACTAAGGGCCTGTTTACATGGCGGTGGGGGACCCCAGATAGGTGAGGTAATATGCAGCGGGTCACCCCACCTATCATGTAAACGTGATCAAATTAAAATGAGAGATTATGTGGACAGGCGGGTTACCCACCAAAGCGGGTTACCTCACCTACCTGGGGTCCCCACCTCCATGTAAACAGGCCCTAACCCACGAACCCTGCTTGGGTATAACTATAGTTAGTCTGTATTGTTTTGGATCAGGGAGGCGTAAATTTTCTAATTATAGTTAGAGCGAACAGAGAAGCGGTGACATTACCGAAATAGCTAACCATAGTTATCCCCGTCTTAACTATAGTTAGTAGCCCAAATGTGACCGCAGCCACTATCTTGACGTATGCGCAGCTGTTGGCACTACCCTGACGAGCCTTAAAAGTATCTTTTTTAAATGGACACTGAGATACTGTAAACTTCAAGCAATCATTTGTCCGAAAAAGTCCACCAAAAATTCTATTTATTAAATATATGGTTAGCAATTCTATTTATTTAATAAATGGTTAACGCTCTATACCTTCTTACTTTTGGGGTTTACGCTCAGTGTGGGCTCCTCTATTTACTGGTTGATTTTTTGTGTAATTAGCCATTAATTCTTAGTTCTTACACTTTAAACTTTTAATCTTGAGAATTACATTCATAACTGATACAATTTTAATTCTTATGTGTTATCGTGTTTTTTGAATGATGGATTATTATATCGCCGGTTATTACACTGTAATTGTCTAAAAGGGAACTTAGTTCCTATAAGTTAAACTTGAAAATTTCTTGGATATCACGGCCGATGATCATAGTTACCCCTTCTTGCACAATTTCTTTAGTTTGACTAACTAGAGAGTATCAACTGGTATAATGACATGCAATGACAAGAAATTGATAGACTCGCCTTGTTTACGAACTGAGTCATACAGTGGTTTCCTTTTGGCCGAATGTTCAGTAATAAAACGGGGAGCCTTAGCGCTATCTGTAACTTCAATTTTAATTCTCTGTGTTGTTCCCATTTTCTATTTTCCCGTTCTCCGTCCTCGGTCCTCGGTTCCCGTATCCCGTTTGCTCTTAATGTACTTAGTACTAACTTACTTAATACCTTCTTACTTATACTTATACTTACTTATTTACCTACCTACCTAACAACCTAGCCAGTTACTTACTTACTTACTTTATACACACTCAATATTCACTCAATCACTCACCGATTCATTTACTTTTACTTACTATCGAAAGCATAATTATTACAGTCTCCATAGAAACTGTAATCGCATCGAATAAGCAGCGCACGCTTTTTGGGAAAATCCAAAAACGGATTTTGTGTTTTGGGGGGCAAATCCAAAAACGAATCATGGATCCATGATTCTCTGGGTGGATTCTTCGCATCAAATCCAAATCCGGATATTTGAGATTCACATTCACGATCTGAGCGTTTTTTTGGGAAAGGATTTGAAAAAAATATTTTTGACAGGCGGTTTTCCGAACAAGAATGGTTCACAACAAATGCTGTAAACGTATGACATCCTAACTGAATCTATGTTAGTGACGCCTTAACTTTGAGCCATTAATTACATATATCATTTCATGTTTGTCACCTATTTACATTCGTATACCGTGTTTACACCCGTACTTATCATGTTTTTTTTTGCTTATGTACGTACGTTCACGAGGAGCACAAAGACATGCCGTTGTCATGGTAAATGATCCTTTTTCGGATCTTCCGGTTTTTTTGGTTGTGAAAAACCCATATGATCTGAGATCACAAATCCATTTTTGGATTCTGACTCCAAAAAAACGCACCCTTAGTAGAAGAGCTACAGTGTCCATTACATAGCTGTGGATGCATTAGAAAGAAAAATTCTCACTTCTTTGTAATTATTATCAGCGACGGTGAACGGAGTCGGAGTTGGTAGCAAGAACCCGAACTCAACTTGATCATCACATAAATATCCAAGAGTATTGGCATCAGGAAAAAATTTCTCGTCAGGGTGTGGGTTAGTGTTTTGCCTTGACATTACTAGTGAAGCATACATGAGGTTTAAACAACAAAAGAGTCGTCAAAGAGTACTGCAATCAATTTTGAAATACTGAAAGGACAGCGGTGGCGGCTGAATCGATAAGAAATGTTCAAGGCTTTGCAAAAGGTTTTCTGAAAGTTTTCTCCCCGCGGTCCTCCCCCCATGGGTCTAGGCTAAACTCAAAGGAAACAAAGTCCTGCAACTGATGAAAGCTCAAATGTGGCTCTAGCCTTTTACAGTCCCAGATGTTAGTGGGCATTCTACCGACTCCGACTTCGTCGGAAGTGAAAATAAACGGCCTTAAAATCAAAACTAAACCATAACGGAATAAGAAAATAACTATTCATCAGGTTCTACATCCACCTGAAGAAACACAGTGTCATTCACAATGTAACGCCTTGTTTGAAGTACCTTGTGAGAAATGAATAAAGGTATTCCTCCCTTACATAAATTTCCTTCCTCGGGTCTTTTCAAAAACAAGTTACTGAAAGGACCTCGTCTCTTTGAACTTAAATAATCTACAACGTTATTTCGTTGTCTCAAATCTTCATGTTGATCAATCAAAGTGAACGTTATTTTCTTTCTAAAAGGCCAGGGTAACATGTTATCATATTCACTTTCCATTAAAAAAATTGCGACCGAGAGATGAGGAGACCTGCGGCTAGGCAAATGTGTAAAATACCCGGCAAAATGAGGAATAACTGACACTTTTAATTTGTAACCGTAACATTCAGTGAAGAATGGATCACTTTCTATCGTTTCCCTCTCTCCTGCCTTCGCTTGCCTCAGAATATCACTGAATTTGTCAATCTTCCAAATATATCGGGTGTTGCCATCTTCCTTATCTGTACTCGATTTCAGCCCAAAATGCCTTTGAAGCATGTTTAGTTTTCCCACCAAATTTCTTGTTATGTCTTGCGTTTCACGTACTTGATCCCTCGTTAATTTCAATTCCGCTTGTGTTTCTTTCAACTGTACTCGTGTTTCACCCAACTGAACCTGCGTACTGTTGAGTTTATCACAAGCAAAGTGAAGATGTTCTTGCAATGCTTTTTGAAGATGCAAATCCAAGTTTTTGCGCTGAACCTGCAGAAAAAGGACATATAACATGGTTCGTACAATCTTGAAAAGGCCTTGCAAATTCCTTGAATTCAGTTTAGGTCATTGAAAAGTACTTGATTTCTCACTAGGTCTTGAAAGTCCTTGAAATTCACAACCTTGTTGACGCCAGACACCTTTTTCTGTAAAATTAGATTATTTTGCCATCCTCTGTGTATAAGAGCCTGTAGAACTCACGGGTACTTTAAAAACATTTTTGTGCATGAACAATATTCTATTTATGTTCAGATTCTACTTCTGTACCTCAGATGCAATTGCAAGTCGTACCCAGTCATTTTGCAAAGTCTTGTTGTGGAAAGTAGTATAAAATAATGTGATCAACCATGGCCCAAGAAGTAAAAATCGTAAATGATTCCATGACTTGTTTAGCCAACTGGGTGATCAAAGAAGGTTAAAGAATGCCAATTTAGCCTTACCTCTTTACACCTTAAAAGTTTTTCTTGGCTAGGAGTTTACCTAAATCTCTGAAATGGTAGATAGAAACGTTGCTGAAAGGCGTGCCGTGGTGCTACAGGCAAACGGTATGGAAAGGAAGAAGGACGGTGCTCGACTTACTGTGCTCATTTACAATATCAGTGAGTATGTTTGCAATTGCCAAATGTTTTGCATTCCGCCCAAAGCTAGAGCGTTACTGCGTAGACATGTTAAAATAGCGGTATTATTACGAAGTGCCAATTAACTCCCACGAGGACATTTTTTAGGTATATAAACGACCACGCGGCATTAAACTAGGGACCACCAAGATAAGCAGAAAATGTAACCAGGTTTTTTTTTTTTACTCTCTTTCTCTCTGAGTCTTCCGCGGTGTTTTAACTGTGTACTGAGAAATTACAGTGTATGGAATAAACCTGTTGTGAGTGCAAAAACTGGTCCGTAATAACTCCTCTAAGTGGATACGTCATATATCCAATTCTCTGGCTAAGTCAACAACAACAACAAGTTTATTCAGTATTACCATTTTGTACAGGTGTTACCCACTAAAATAGCAATAATAAACAGCTAAATTTAAGGAAATGAAGATATGATGGAACGGTAGAATTAACTATGTTTCTTTCGTCTTTCAAATGCTTGAAAGATGAAATTATCAGCTAGCCTGCTGATAAGTCACAGTTTTATCTGCGAAAGAACAAACCTTTTCGATGCATCCCATCTGAGCAAACGGACAGGAAACTGGGGTCAAAGGGCAGTGGTCTTTAATATGATTTGGAATCTAAAAAAAGTAATAAAGAAAGTCAACTCACAACCGAAACGGTAATTATCTTCGTAACCTAGGTATATTCCAGTTTTAAGAAATTTTATCTTAATTGTTAACTGAAAAGACACATTACTACAAGAACTTCTTGGAAAAAGATTTGCGTTTTGAACAAAATGAGAGTTTATTACAAATTTTCAAGTCTAAATTTCTTTGGCACACCCCGGTTCCATTGATCAAGAAGGTTCATATGTGACGTCATGAGGCAAATTCAGGAACTAAAACGGGGCTGATTTTATGCATCCGTACTTCCTTTCTTAGGGTTGCTAGTATTGTTGTGTAGAACTGCAACGCATGTTACTGGAATGTTTTACAAAGTTAACATCTGTTTTATTAGTTTATAAAACTCCACATTCTCAACGGTCTACCTTTGATCTATTGTTGACGAATTACTGATTGAATCTTGTACGGTTTTAAATTCTCTCTAACTTAGACTCGGTTCGGTAAAAAATATATTTTTTTTATCGTTGATGAATTACTTTTATTAGGATGAAATGTAGTTACATCTACCATTTCTCTGGTAATTGATTCATCACAGCTGTTAGGGCAGGGAACGGGAAACTTGCTGCAGAATTCGAAGTGACCCTACAAAAAGACAAATGATGAGCTCTAACGAACTAATCAATCAATCTTCAACCAATTGATCAGTTTTCTGGAAAATGATACCCTATTCTAGACCCAAACTGTCTGATTTATATACTCTATCCTAGAGTAAACTGCCTGAAAACCATACCCTTCACAGCGGCACATAATTATATAGCCCATATATGGCAGTTCTCCTCCTCAGATCAAATCGGACAATTGAACAAGCAATGAATATCGAGCACCAAATGTTGCTAACCAAAAAGGTTGGGGGGTATCATATTCCGTAATTCACAAAGGGGGCCATGAGCAACTCAGAGTATGCGGATTTGTACGGGAATTCAGGTAAAAGATTCAAGAAGATAAATAATCACTGGAATTTCCAATATAATGCAGTTAATCTTATTGACTTGGTTTGTTCTTGCTTGCTGTGTGTATTTTAGCGATTTCCTTTACCCCCGACTTTAGTAGTGAGTACTGAAGTTTCCAGCTTTAGTTTGACATGTTTAATTTCTAAAAAAATGTGTTTTCAAAAGTTATAAGCCATGTGTTACTTCGGAAGCTTGCAAGCTGATGTAATAAGAACTTATTTTGTAAGTTAACAAATACTCCTACGAATGCCGTAGGATCCCTGTTAGGGACCATTCATTATTTATGCCTAGTTAAGGGTATGCTGGAACACAACAAATAGACAGGTTATATATTACAAACTGCTTTTTGGATTCAGAAGCCGAACTCATCCTTGAGTCTTCAGGAATGTGCAGAAATGGAAGAGGCTCGAATGCGAAAAATGCCTGAAAATTGGGCAATGAAGTAGCTGCAAGGATCGATGACACTCCAGTTCTTTTTAATCTTTTTTTGTATCAGAATAACCAAGTGATAGTTTGTTTTTCATTCCGGAGTAAAGAGTATTGTCCAAGATAAAGCGTTGATAAAAACGAACCAGGTATTAAAACATAAAAAAAGTATAGATTTCCGTGAAGCTCACTTCCAGCCAGTAGCAACCCTCTACAAAATGTAAGTCAGACAGCCGGGTAGATTAACTGGGACACTTTATTTCGTGCTGGTGAAATCCAGCAAATAAAGGTAAAAAAAGAGTTTCTTTCATTTTAAACTTTCACTAAAAGGCAAGATAAAAAGGCCGGTAAAATCCAACGAATCATCGCTCACGTTTCTTTCAAACAAGTTTAGAAATCAACACAAACATCTGTAGGCAAGAGGAAGAAGTATTGTCTAGTAATTCTGTCGGAATTAGTAACTACGAGCTTGACCTTGTTGTTGATCATTGCAGCAGTGGGAACTCCTCAGGGACCAAAACTAACGAGGAAGACCTCGGGCCGTAGTATTGGGACATGACATTTCGTTGAAATTGTGACTGTTTCCTTTATAAGCTTTAAAGTCTTTAAACTACCAGTATTGAACTGTTAGCCTTTAGGAGGCTTGCAAACCATGTACCGTTCGTCCCGAGAGCTCTGAAAGCTTTTGTTTGAAAATAAAACAAAAATAAAAATTCAGGTAGTCCCCCCTCTTTGTGTGCAGATTTATTGATGACCCCCCCTCGGACTGTCCTGAATTTGATGTGGCCCACCCCTCATTCTTGCCAGCCCACCCCCTGGCACAAATAATGAATGGTCTTTTAATTATTCTAATGGTGTGGCAAGGTTATATCAAGAGAGGAGGTATGTTTACTAGTATATCTAGCTCAGTTTTTAGGCTATTTTTAGGTTATTAAAACGGTTCTCATTTTTGAAGGGGAAAATTGCTTGTTCCTAATCCGAAATCTCAGCTAATGTAATAGGGAACTATATTCGCAAAGAATACATCAACTCCTTCACTTGTTTCATTGAAACCAGAAGAGCTTTTATGCAGTGATATCGATTTTCCTTATTTGCCGGAAAAAAACGCGTATTTGGCACTTTGAGGGTTCGTGTGCGACAGGGCGGTCGGTTTTGCATGTTACCGGAATTGCAATTCGAGACTGTTCATTGGGAAGTCATTGGTTTTTCCTTGGTTATTACGATGATGCGCAGAGAACTGGTTAAGAGGTGGTCCCCAAAACAGTTCCAGAGTGAAATTCAGTTCCCTTTTCGGGTGACTAAAAAAACATCAAGAAGTCATATGCCTTCAAAGCCTAGTAAACTGCCAATAGGATTATGGGTTGGAGCATTAAGGTATCTGAAGAGTATTTGACTACAAATACCTCAAAACTGCTACGAGAATCTTGCTGTTGTTGCATGATCAGTACTATAAGAAGACTTCAGGAGTTATAAAGCTACTGTATTTGACTGGGAAAGGCGATTTGCAGCCTTTAACGCAGCCAAATAAGCCTGTTCTTAATAAATGTAGTACATTTCAAAGAAAAGTAGATAATTAATGCAAAATGAGTGAAAACAGAGGCGTTTATGACAAGAAAATCAATTGGTATGTCTTACTTGATTGGAGTGGTCAGTCAAAAACGTTTGTGAAATTCGTTTTCCATGCATGGTTTTTACGCGCCCTTTGACTGAAGAGCAGAGGGCATACATTGCGCTTTTCGAGGACGAAAAGGACGTGTCCGTCAAGCAGATTAGCCAGAAAACGGGAATTTCACCCACTACGATTCGATCAACAAATAACACATGAAACTTTCGCTGAATTTTCAGAGTGCGTGACCCGACAACTTTGAACTGATTGTCCCCTCGCCGAAATAGTCAATGGGAAAGCACTTGCAAAGAATAAAAGCATCAAATGGAGGGAGGATTAAATATTACAAAAGCTGCATTTTTACTTTTCACATTTCAATGCTTACTTTTGAAATTGTAGCGATGTCCAGTCCAGAGAAACACTATGAAATCTAGAAATGTCACGCGCGATAACGTGACAAAATGTACTATCGCGTGACCTGTAAAAGTGCACGTGTTGTCTTCGGGTTACATATGACTGGAAAAATTATGACCTAAATTGATGATTTGTAAACCAAGGCATGATAAAAGTTGCCAAAATTGACTTCTAATCTTTTGCTCTCCACAATATCTGCAAGTCGGAACGATTAACAGGACATTTTTGAGCGGCTGCGAAGATTAGCAACGGTTAACAACGATTAACAGGGAAGTTTAAAAAGAATCAGAAGGTCATTCTCTATTGAGAACGAAATGGTGTTAACCGTTTCAATGCTTTGTTAATCGTAATATTATTCTATCCATGGAATTATCCTAAAAAGTTAACCGACTTTTAATAAACAAAGTTTCTGTAACCTCCATTGTTTAACCAATTATAAGCTCTGAGAAGCAATTTCCACGTGACGGGAAACGGTTCCATATCGGATTGACTCACTTGACTATTATGTCCCTAAATAAACACTACGAACTCCTTTTCTTCGAAGAGAACCGTCATACAAGTCTTGTGCAGACTCTTCTGAAAAAGATAAATTACTTTTCACATTTTCCCGGCCTTCCATTCCGGAACTACAGGAAAATATGTAACAACAAGACGCCTAAAGTCGTTTCCGTGGGATGCGTTGGTCTATGGAAGCATAATAGCGTTCTATCTGAATTTGGAAAAATTAGGGAAACCGGAAAGATGTGTCATGTTATGAGCATCGATGAGTAGGTTACCTGTATGGGTTGGTTTAATGAGCTTATGACTGAATTTAGAGTAGCCTGCGTGACAGGCTACTATTTCTCCCCAATCCACATCCTCTTTTTGCTTCCTCCCTATCCCCTACCCCTTTCGACACCTGCTACGCAAGCTAAATTTATAGTTGTCAGTGGTCGCAAGGATGGAGTTGATCTTGTTTTGATCTATCGCTATGTAGTTATTTTCATAGCACGATTTGGATAAGAAAAAGAAGTTATTTTGCATCAAAACAAGGTTTACCCGTGTAACTTAAATTGGAATGTTAACGGAAACAAGTAATGGAGAACATGCGCATAATGCTCTCTGATTAACCTGAACAGGAACTATATGTATAAAGATACGTCATATCTTGGTAGTAAGTAGCCACAGGTAACTTTTTCAAAGAGAAATAAACATTGTAGTTTTAGGTTAATGGAACAAAACAAAACAAAACATCCGCTTCCTTTATCCAGGGTGGAACCCAGGGTTACAAAGTTCGATAAAGTTCCAATGTTTCAATGCAAGATGAAAGTTTAATATTCCAAGATGCTCTTGATACGGTTAAAAATTAATTGCAATGTGTTTCCAAGGTCTCAAAGTTAACGTAGTTCCAATGATTATCCCTGATTCCAAGGTATAATAAGTTTTTTAAGGTCCTGATCCGTGTCCCATCCAGAAGTCCAATCCATGACGAAAGCGAGTCGTCGATCGAAGAAGACAATATTTTCGCGATTTCACCGCCAATCGTCAAGGGTACGAGTTGAAATTTACGCGATTTAACCTCCCATCGTCAAGGTGTTTTCGATGAGAAAAGAAAAAAACTGAACTCTAGCTGTGCTCGGCAAAAACTGGCGAACTCCGAATAGAAAAATCTATCGGAAATCATGGCCCGCAACCAGACGCTACTAAAACCTTATGAAAAAGCTAGGCCTAAACAAAAAAGAATCATGAAGGGAAGAAATAATTTGGCTTAGGTCGCCTTTCGTGACTTACCAGTATCCCGGAGGATTTCGCTGGTTATCAAGCCATCCTAAGCCACGAGTGGCAAAACGCAAGGGCGACAAATTTGGCAAGGAACGTTCTGATTTCAACGTTCTTCAGAGGAAGCAAATCGATTAAAAATCTATACAGATTTTGTACAATCTGATTAGTCAGATTGGAAGAAGAGATAATCGATAAAGATTTTAGGCAATCCTATTGGCTGGCTTTACAATTTTGGGTACAACCGCACCGGATTTTTACCGTGTGAGTGCCACAGGCATCCCACGGAATTAGCACGCGTTGTACGGCTATTGCGAAATCTGACTGTTTTAAAGAGGGTGCTGCAAAAAACTTATATGAGGTCATGCTTTTCTATGAGAAGATGGTCTGGCGTAAAACTTTCTGCTCAAAACAGCTTCTGTAAAGTGCTTTTTATTAGCATGTTTTTGTTTTGTCCTTGCAAATATTCTTGCAAGAAAACGCGAATCACCTTAGCTTGTACACAATCTTGGACAAAACTGTTGAGAAAATTATATACTTGGACAGCATTTTTCTAAACATCTTAGCTGTACCGGTTCTTCCCTCTCCCCCTTCCCCTGAAAGCAATGTTGTTGTGTATTCAAAAGAAGGCCTGATCCCTGGGCGTTTGTGGGAAGCAACATTGAATTGGGGGAAGGGGTTTTCTTTCCGCAAAGGCGTCGTTTTGGAAATAGTTTTGTCGCGTAGGAAAGTGGACATGATGGGGAAAACTTTCTCAAGTAGTTTTGTCCGGGATTGTAGCGTTGGTTGAGTTTAATCTCTAAGATTTGTTCAGATTTGTTACGATTTTCTGAGAAAAACATTAATTATGGCGAGTACAAAAATCGGCTTGTGGAACACTAAATTTTTCAAAGCGCCCCTATGTTAAGCCGATTTTAATAGGCGTTTTTCTTTAGGTAGAAAATTGCCCGATAATCGTTGCTAGTAAATTGGCCTTGAGAAAAGTACCTGATTTTACGTGAGACTTATACATGGATGAAAAGGTGTGGGTTCCACTCGACTTGGGAATGATAAAGTTTCATGCTTAAGATGCGTGCTTGATACGAACTAAATCCATTGCGCCTTGAAAATAGTTATGGTTTAGTATTTTTACCTTTTTGCTCCTCAGCTCACCAGTCCACGAACAACCAACACTTTGACATTTGATAACCAAAGACAAAATTTTTCTTCCTGTTGCTTTGTCTGGGAATAAATCCTATCACATTGCAATAACAACAAAAAAAGACACAACGTGCTTATGATCAAGATCAATTGAATGAGAATAAGATTAATAAATTTCTTAGTTGGCGTAGTCTGTTACGGAAGATCAAAAGGACCGGTGCGCCGCTAGTGGTCCGGACACCTTCACTTTCTGTCCTTTCTGGTTTAGAGGGAATATACTCTCGAACTACACTTGTGATAGCATGTATCCTGAATGAGTTCTTGGCTTCTTAGCAAATACCCAAGTCGCTGCAGAAAAAAAGCTTTTAGAATTGGATTGACAAAGCATGTCCCATCATTCGGCATCATTGTTTCTTGACAGATTGTAATTAAGGGATATGAGATTGTGGAAGACGCGTTAACACAGACACGTTGGAAAAAAGTTCTGTACATAGATGTCCCTGTGATTTAGAGGACAGTTTTTCTTCTATTTCTTAACTGCATAACAGCCAGTGGTTGAATTAGAATGTATCCATAACGACCTCGATTATGAATATGATGATGCATGATAATGATGATGATGGTTATCATTTTAATTATTACTTTAAAAAAATCGAAGAAGGCCTTGCTTTGAATTGCTGAAATACTTCTGAAATTAATTTCACATTTTCCCGAATACGAAAAAAAGTATGGATGCGTGTCAGAAGATTTTCTTGTTCTACAAGCTTGAAAAAAAACTTGTTTTATCACCTCGGGCAGCTTGTTTCGATCGACTTTGTTCGCAATTTTACCTAAGAAATAGACAAGACCAAAACACAGTGCACGTAAAAGTTTAGAAGGTAAATGAAAGTTATATACCTTGTCTCGGTCCAGGCCTTCCCTATCTGCAGGGCAGGTGTAAGGCTGGTTCTCATCTTCTTGTCTGTTTTTTTTTTAAGTGTATTGAAGGCAATTAAAATTATGGATAAATATATCACTAAACAAATGGATAGATAATCATGCAAATTATGTTCTTGTTTTAAACGGTTCAGCGCCTTCAATACGACCTAATACGCAATCTGTGGTAGCAGCAAGTGTAGTAAAAAGGGTTTTTAAATAAAATGTGTCTAAAAGAAATTAATTTATACTTTGGTTTAAAATAGCTTTGGTTCAGTGAAGTGTTCCTGTTTAAATGCTCACACATAAAACGCCAATCGCATCAAGAAGACTTAAAAATGAAATTTAATTAACTCACAGTTTGGAGAGCACAGGCGTAAAACGTGCTCAATATCTCCAACTAATTGTTTTATAACATTATCAAATCAAGAGCAGTTAACTGAAAATTTTATTATTGAAGGGCGCGCTCAAAAAGTACGCGTCAAATTTTAATCACAGTTAATCTTATGTTTTTATCCTGAAACTGAGAGAAAGTGTACTCTAAAATGATTGCAAAATCCATATTTAGGTGCCGGAAAACTTTTAATTTACCGAAAAATTGTTATTGAGAGAAAACAACTTTGCAAAGAATGATCTCACGCCATAGCCCGCACAGCTCGGAGATGACAACAACAACAACAACACTCATTACTATCGGTTAACAAATTCAAACTTAAATAAAACACATGGTTGCTTCATTGTCTATTGCTGAGTTATGGATGCACTCGGGAGACTCAGGATTGCTAAGTTCCCAACAACTCGAGGAATTACGAATAGTTTATTGACGTCATCAGCGTGCTCAATAGGAATATGAAGCACGCTCGCGCTATTGAATTTGATTACGCGAATTTTCTAGCTATGTTATAATCGTAAATTGTGCATAAGGTGTGTCCTGGGTTCGCCACTTGTGAGGGGGAGGGGGAGGGGAAGGGCAAGTCAGGGACTCATCACGAATTCACGAACAACAATCTTGCGTGTCACGAGTCGTGAAACAAGGCTTTCACACTTCTCAAAACTTTGAGGTCGTACGAAGTTCCTCTATTATATATAACTTAACTAGAATTTAACGAACCTTACGAAAATCACTGTATAAAATCCCTAGGGGAGCCAGCTGCAGGTAGGTCTGAGCGCACTGAAGTGTGAAGCTATGTTGTTTTAGTTAAGGTAAAAAAAACCACTGCAAAAACCGTGTACGATCAAACTTGCTCAACGTCGGATCCAAAAAGATCGTGATCAGTCAAAATAGATCAAATTGAAAACGTTACAGTCAAGAAGACTTTTGCAGGGACTGACCAAACAACGCGAATAGAGTTAATTTGGCCAGTCGAAATATCGCAACTTAACCAGACTCTTTTTCACGTTGTTTGATCACTCCCTGTGAAGTTATAAAAAAAGACTCGAAAAGTGAAGTTAAATCAAGCCGCCAGATGCGTTTGCCCAAATTAATTATTTTCTTCAACTTGGTGATTACCTGTAAACAATCGAGGATTTTGGCAGTTCAGGTTTTATGGAGTGCCTTTCAATCACGATTCACAGAACAGTTTTCAGCTCTCTCCTCCACAGAGCTTTCTTTGTGTCGCAGAGAGGCTGGGAGAAAGAGAAAAAAAGAAAGTGCGCGGGGCACAATGGGAAGGGGAAAGGGAGAAGAAAGGTCCCCGCCTTTTCCCTCTTCCCATCGTCCCCCTCGCGCTTTCTATTTTTCGATTATTGCTACTTTTACTGGGATACCCAAAGGAAGCCTCTACGAAGAAGAGAGGTTTTTTCTGTACATTATCGATACATCACGATGACCACGATTCATGGACACCAAAAATGGTCGATCAGGGCGTCACGAAAATGAGCTTGCCCCGCCCCCGCCCCCTCCCCCCTCACTTGTGAAGCTTGGTTTTTAAGGTCATCTATGGACAGGTTTCTGTCCCATCATAGGACGCAGAAACTTAAAGTAAAACTCCTTCCACCAATTAGGTCCGCTATTATATATACTTCTTTCTACTACTTATCTCTGATTTCCAACGATTTAGCACAGGCTTTCCGAGCCTACAATCTACGGAAAAGCGTAATACATTTCAAAAACTTCAAAACCTTTTAATGCTCTGCAAGGACGGCAGGGTTACGCAAGAGCAACCACAGGTCGGCAACGAAGAACGGCGGAACTAAAACTGGCTGGAATCGCCCTAAAAAGGGCCAAAAATGGAAAACCTTGACAAGCACACAAGGTTAGAAATTCTGATGTATCTTTATTAAGATTTTTTGACCCCTAAATGACGATCGCTTAAATCTTCATATAAACTGTTATAATATTTCGGTTTCGCAACAACGATTCTCACTCGTGAGATTGGGGTACCTGTGGAGCAACCATGGATCACGTGATACCAAACTGACGACAACGAACGTACTACTTTATCTCCAAACAGTGGAAACCAAAATCATTTAGTCATTTTAAAAGTTGATAGAAAACAAGCTTAACTGTCAACTGCGCCAATAACGATAGCGCATGAATGCATCAGTAAAGATTTTTCAGCTTGCCTTTTCCTATATTTAAAAACTAAAGTGGATCAACCACTGATCAGGGGCACCATCCCAACGACAATTTTCGGAAAATATCTGTTAGGAAGACGATTTGAGATCTAGAATTTTCGGAACCTTTTTTGCAAAATTTCTTGCTAGTCTGCCTCTCGTAGGATTTTCGAACATCTAAAAATGGTATAATTGCCCGTTTTTAATGGATTTTTACCCTGAAAAGGCCACCTACAAGTCTCGGGAGCCTTTTTTCTAGCTGAAATTTTCGAAAAAGGTAAGTTTTGATCCCCATAATTTTCGAATCACTAGACTTTCAGCTAGGAAATCCGAACAGATGAAAAATTTTTAGGGGGTAAAAATATGCCTATATCTACCGTTTAATTAACAATGCTATGTTTGAATGGTTTTGAATTATATTCTCGTTGGCTGCCCCTGACTGATCAACATTGCCTTCGACCAAGAAATTTACTAAGCTATGACGACTTTTATGTCGATGAAGAAAGAATTTTCGTGAATGAGATGTTCGGACTATTGAGGAGTTTACTGGAACACACTGCTAGAGTAAAAGGTGGAAGGTTTCGGTTCAAAGTTATTCAAATTTAAACATTCAAGTTTACAATTCAGTCATTTATACGTACCTTAGCAAATATTCTTCGAGGCATGCATTGCAAAATCTGTGACCACATCTTGTAAGAACTGGCTCCTTCAACGGCAAATGACAAATTAAGCAAATAAAATCATCTTCAACTGCATACAAAAACTCATCGTCGTGACCTGAAGGCAACTGCGTGTTGCATTGCGCTTCCGTCATGTTACAAACCGAAAGCGACGCTTGAAATCGAATTCTGTCGCCGCCAGCTGCAAATAGCTAATTAAGAAATCATTTAGGGGTGGTAGGGTGGGTAGATAAAGTAGCAAAACCCTCTATTTTCGCGCGCAAATAAGCTCACTGGGGCACTAGGAACAGTGCATTACAGTGGAACTTCTCATTTGAGACACATCCGTGTAGAGGACATAAAATTCGGTCCCGGAAAATGTCCGCATAATTTTTGTATTTGTTACCTCTATTGAAGAGACACCTCTATTCAGGGAAAAGGGACAATCTTTCTGGGTCCAGAATAAGGACACCTTATAGCACTCAAAAGGTGACTGACCACAAAAATCGTTGATAATTTTGAAATAATGACTACAACAGATTCAGAGGCAGAATAAAAGAAAAAAAGTATTTTATTTGTCTCCATTCAGGTGACAACGATATTCAGGGGACACTTGCCTTGATCCCGAGGATATCCCCTGGATAGAGGTTCCGCTATGTTTATTTAAAGAGTGGGCTCCTATACAAGAAAAAAATGGTATACTACAAATTTAACTTTCAAACAATTCAGTGTATAGGTTTACGACTTCATCTGCAGCTCGTAAGGAATACTAAATTGTAAGAGCCATGTATACTTAACTTGAGTGAAAAGTGAATTACCCTTTCTTCAGAAAAAGCCTCTAGTTTCTCAGCCTGTGAACGGTTTATCACTACTATCTGCATGATTCACTTTAGCAGACATAAACGGTCGAAAACATTATCTAATCATCAGGTCCTACATCGACCTGAAGAAACAAATTGTCATTCAAAATGTAGCGCCTTGTTTGAAGCCTCTCATGAGGTATGAACCACATAATATCACTTTCAAATGTAATGTTTCCTCTTGGTCTGCCGTAGAATATTTGTGCTCTAGAACTTGGCCTCAAATCGGCTGTGATGTTTTTCCTTTCATTGATATCCACATTTTGATCAATCACTGTGAACGTTATTTTCTTGCTAAAAGGCCAGGGTAATATGTCATCATATTCACCTTCCACTGAAGCGAGGCCAAAGTAGAGAGATTCTTGAGGAAGAAGTGTCCCGTCGTCTAATTCTGTCCACGTTTTAAGGTAAGGACGGACTATCACTCGTAATTTGTAGCCATAACATCCAGTGTAAAATGGATTACTTTTTATCGTTTCGCAAGGGATATGCTCAGCTTTCATAAATCGTGCCTTGGCTTGCCTCAAAATCTCACCGAAATTTTCAATCTTCCAAATAAACCGTTTGTTGTCGGCCCCTCTATAGACTACTATCTGCATTCACCTTTGTTTCTAGTTGCACCCGAAGAGACTCTAATTTCTCCTCAAGTTTTCTTGTTGTTTCTTGGGTATGTTTTAACTGAGCCTGGGTTGAACTTAATTGAGCTTGTGTCTCATTTAACTCAAACCGTTGTTCAACCAGCTGAGCCTGTGAGCTGTTAAGTTTAACACAAGCCAAGTCAAGATGCTTTCGCGTGGCTGACTCAAGATGCGAATCCACGTTTCTGCGCTGGAACTGTAGAAAGAAGTCAGATAATTTCAGAAAATGGTATTATAAACCAAAACTGTTATTTGTATTCATACATTTTGCAAAATATAGGTCTGTTTGCATAGTAATTGTCTGAGTGTCGGGAGACAAATAGAGTCTGATACAGACAAATGATGAAGGAATTAAAGTTTTTGGCAGACGGTTGATCATGTACAATGCGTAATGATTTCAGTCCGCTTAATTTACAATCTCATGGAATGAAGAACAAACCTGTTGATTGCACCCCATTTGAGCATATGGGCAGGAGACTAAAGTCAACGGACAGTCGTTTTCAATGTGATTTGGAATCTAAAATAAAGTAATAAATAAGTGATCAGAACTGACGCAAAACAAAACCCAACACTTAGCATAACCTTTTATACAAAGTTTTTTTTTTTCTTTTACCAAGAGAAGATCAGGTCTGAATTAAAAGAAAGGTGTTTCAAAGGAAAGTTAAGGCTTCTAATACCCGTTGCGCTTGTCTCCTCCTCTGTGTGGTTCTCGACGCCTGTTTGACGTCACGTAACCAGGAGCGTTGCTTGATGACACAAAGAACGGTCAGGCCTGCATTTCTCATTTCATTACTTTTTTTTTCCATTCACTGTGTTCAGTCATATGCTGCAAGCTAGGAGACGACCATGTTGAACTGTATTATTCACAGTTCGCCAAATTATGAAACCGCTATATCAAAAAACTTTTTCATAAAAGCCTGACAGCGACGAGGCTGCGAAGCAATATGAAATTTCATTTGAAGTGATTGTAAGGTTTTGCACTATTCTAAAGCAGTAGCAGCCGTAAAGTTATGACAAAATCAGTTATAATGTATTTACAGCTACCCACATGATCTTGTGGTCTTGCGGTGTTGCGGTGTTGTGTGACCTTGATATGCGACAACGTTAGCTGGAATAGCTGTACAATTTAAGTATGCACACGCAGAAAGGATTTTTTCGTACAACATGCAGGGGGGATCAATATGAAACGATGAAAACTAATGGAAAGACAAGACATAGCTTAGAGCGTCACTCATCATGAAGATCAACAGAGTCTGCCACAAACTGCAATTAAATAAAATTACCATGTCTCTCGCGTATCTCTCTTTCCCACAGTTGTTAGGGCAAGGAATGGGCATCTTGATGCACGTTTTAAGGTGATCCTGCAAAAAGACAAATAATTATTTACACACTAAGACTGTAAGACAACGTCTTCAGTTAACCGCAGTAAGCCGATAGCAATTTTAGTGTACACAGTAAAAAATACTTCAAAGTTTTAGACCTGACCAGTATATATTTTTCTCCTGTATCTGAGAGAGGTGAAATGCTTACTTGCCGTCACCATTTATATTTTGCAAAAGCCGCATTGTGTGGGCTGTACTACATTTGAAGCTGAGTAACTATCATCTTAGTTTCGTATACTTGCTCATTTTTCTACTTTAATGTAAAACCAGAAAATAAAGAAAACAATTGCTAAAGACGTTTAATTGTGGTGTCGCGCGTTTGGAGAACACGCTACGCCGACAGGTGACAAGGCTAAGTCAAGAGCAAACGAAACGGGGAATCCAATCTCTGCGGCGCAAGGTTGAAGAACAAACCCGGGGGTACTTGCTGTAATGACCTATTCAGGGAGGCTCCGCCCGAAAAGAGTGCCTTTCGTAGGCCTCAGGTATATGAAAGGGTAGAGATTTCACTTGTTGAAGTAATATAAAGGGGTAGGGAAATCTGTCATACCGGACTCTTAGATGCACTTCATGGCTGCGAAATAGTCGAGAAAACGTTCTGCATTTGTGAATGATTCCTATTTAAAATACAGTGTATTTAAAGCAGTTAAGGAATGCATAGTTGTATCCCAGGTATGTGAAAGGAGTACCATTTGTCATAGAAGGTATATACAAAGGGATACCTTTTCCGTCATAAATGGTATTTAAAAGGGTAAGGGGTTTGTCTTTGGGGCGGAGCATCCCCGTTTAAACTTTATGAGTAACCCCCCGCGGAAGAAGAGCATTGTTGAAAGATCTCCAATTTTTTATAACCTCATACCTGCAAGTACGTCCTTGGTTGTTTCTTTTTACAGTACATACACGGCATAATACTCCACACGCACGTTTTTGTGTGATTGTCCAGTTTTTCTCTTTTCATTTCCTGAGTGCAATTTTCGTTGGTACAAGTAACAATTTTGAACTGGCAGGTTTCCAGGTGAGCCTGTTACAAGCAATAAAATGCATATAAAAAAGAAAGAAAAAAGTGATCTTCTTTCCTTGGTTAAATGCTGAAATCCATGGCGCCTTGAATATAATTGTTATATTGGGTTTTTACCTCTTTGTTCCTCAGTTCATCAGTCCACGAACAACCGTGACTTGGACATTTTATCTCAAAAGACAAAATTTTCCTTCCTGTTGCTTTATCAGGAAATACATCCTAAGGAACAAAACAAAACGGAATTAAACAAACAGTGCAAGATCATTCTTCGCAGGAAATACCTGAGCCAAATTAACAGGCTGCTATCATTATCATAATCATCATCATCATCATTATCAATATCATTATTGAGATTCCAAGATGGCCGTGCTCGAAATTTCTGAAATACTGCTAATTTCCTTACTCCTCTAATTAGAAAAGATTGCCATGTGGGTAAAGTGTGAGAACGTGTATGCAACTGGTCTTGTCCTTAAGAGCTTGAAAAAATTGGAACCTTTGTGTCGAAACTTTGTAACAGCTCGTTCCGGTCGACTCCGCCTATGTAATTTAGTTTACATGTAAGCGATAAAAGAATAACTAAGACCAAAAACATATTAAAAACAGACGTAAGAAGATAAAAAGCAAATGAAAGTAATTTACCCGGTCTCGGTCCAGGCCTTTCCTATCTGCAGGACAAGAGTAAAGCTGGCGCTGAACTTCCTGTCTGTTATTTTGCAGTGCAAGAGACAATTACGATTAATATTTAATGAAAATTAGTAGGAACATCGATTGATAGTTAGTTACTAATTAATTCCATCATAAAACTTCTTTCTGCTAACTTGTGGCTGATTTTATTTGCCAAGCCTAAAAAAACCACAGAACTCAAGACATTTAAAAAATTGACAAGTTTTTATGCTTTGCTAGGACTCCAAGGCCAGCTTGCGAAATTGGAACGCTTATTTATCGCGAGGCATTGACCACTGACGGAGGACAGAATGTCCGCATTCCAGAGCAGATCAATAACTTCGAACAATGGCTACTTGTCTCCAATTTACGGAAACGAGACACATTTTGTAATTTCAAAAGTTTGCTAATAGAAAATAACCTTATCTAACTTGTGCGTCAGTAACATAATTTAACGGTGATTATCAGCTGGGTGAGATGTAGCAGATTTGATTAATCGGGTTAAGGTTTCCTCTATTTAAAATCTAAATTTGAGAGACAAGGCGTTCGTCTAATTAATCGATTAAGCTGCTAAGGTGTCTGTTGTCTACCTCAGTAAATACAGGTCGACTTTCCGTCAACTTAGATGTTCCTACTCAGATCGAGGTGTTCAGTGAAAAACGCACAGTGCTGCAGTTTTTCGTTAAGGTGTTACCTAAAGGTTTGGAATGAAAGTTGCTTCAACACTCAACTTTCAATAGAATTCAGGCATTTAGGCCTACCTTCTGAAATGTTTCTTAAGGCATGCATTACAAAATCTGTGACCGCATCTGGTAAGAACAGGCTTCCTCAGTGGCAAATGACAAATTAAGCAAAGAAAATCATCTTCTACTTCATCAGTAAACTCCTCGTCATAACCTGAAGGCAACTGCAGATTGCGTGGCGCTTCCGCCATGTTTCAAAAATGCTCCAGTAGGCTATTACAAAAGCGAAACCCTCAGGGTCATACGAGAGGGATCATTCAAAGTCATTTTGAGGAAGTGGGGTGGATGGACGAACGAACGTAAAAAAGAGAACAAACACAGGTACATCAAGATATGGTGCAAAGTGGGTGTAAATCAATAAATATTTATTAGATATGTGTTGCTTTTAAAGGACCAAAATTATGTGCTTTACATCTTTTAAGGATCATCTTAATCCTAGGAAGTGAAAACAATCGGTGAAAGTGAAAAACTTTGAAGTGGTGAACTCAGCAATACGCGCTATTTTTACTCCTTGTCACTGCAAAAATTTGGCCGCCGCTGCGGTTCAGTTAAGTGTTCCTGTTTAAATGCTCACACATAAAACGCCAATCACATCAAGACTTAAAAAATGAAATTTAATCGTAAATTATGCATAAGGTTTGTCCACTTGTAAGGGGGAGGGAGAGGGCATGGCAGGGACTCATCACGAATTCACGAACAACAATTTTGCGTGTCACGAGTCATGAAACAACGTTTTCACGCTTCTCAAAACTTTGAGGTCGTACAGAGTGCTTCGATTATATATAACTTAACTAGAGTTTAACGAACCTTATGAAAAACACTATATAAAATCCCTAGGGAAGCCAGCTGCAGGTAGGTCTAAGCGCACTGAAGTGTGAAGTTACATCAAAAGACTCGAAAAGTGAAGTTGAATTAAGCCGTCAGATGCGTTTGGCCAAATTAACAATTTATTTTCTTCAACTTGGTAATTACGTGTAAACAATCGGGGATTTTAGCAGTTCTGGTTTTATGGAGTGTGCTTCAATCACGATTCACAGAACAGTCTTCAGCTCTCTCCTCCACAGAGGCTTCTTTGTGTCGAAGAGAGGCTGGGAGAAAGAGAAAAAAAGAAAGTGCGCGGGGTACAATGGGAAGGGGAAAGGGAGAAGAAAGGTCCCCCGCCTTTTCCCTCTTCCCATCGTCCCCCTCGCGCTTTCTATTTTTCGATTATTGCTACTTGCATTGGGATACCCAAAGGAAGCCTCTACGGAGAAGAGAGGTTTTTTCTGTACATTATCGATACATCACCATGACCACGATTCATGGACACCAAAAATGGTCGATCAGGGCGTCACGAAAATGAGCTTGCCCCGTCCCCGCCCCCTCCCCCCTCACTTGTGAAACTTACCTTTTAAGGTGGTCTATGGACAGGTTTCTGTCCTATCATAGTAAAACTCCTTCCACCAATTAGGTCCGCTATAATATATACTTCTTTCTACTACTTACCGCTGATTTTCAACGATTTAGCACATGTGCAGGCTTCCCGAGCCTAAAATCTACAGAAAAGCGTAAAACATTTCAAAAACTTTAAAACCTTTTGATGCTCTGCAAGGAAGGCAGGGTTACGCAAGAGGAACCATAGGTACAACGAACAGCGGCAGAACTAAACCTGGCTGGAATCAACCTAAAAACGGCCAAAAAATGGAAACAACATAAATCTAGACAAGGACACAAGGTTAGAAATTCTTCGCCGTGACGAATTATTGTAATCCATATCCTCAGTATTTTTCCTTTCCAGTTTTTGTGTTGTACGTCATTTCCGCCTCTCCCTTTTAAACAATTTTTATTGCGACATTCTCCATCTATATAATATTGTGATTGCTACATAAGTTCAGTAACGTCTGTAAACCTGAAGAAGGCGGGTATGGCCAGCCGAAATATTGTTATAAAAACCAATACACGCAGTTATGAATCAGCTTTGCAGAAGTCTTTGGACTTCTCGTCTTTGGTTCTTTATATTTTGGCTGATTAAATTAAATCTCCATATAAACTGTTATTGCGTTCGAGGTACGAGAACGCAACCCCTAATTTGTGTTGGGTGTTCTGTACATTATTGGGTGCCCTGTGCAATTAATAAGGGAGGTTTTTTGGAGATTGCATTTGTCGTCGTCGTCGACACACATTTGCCTCGCTTTGAGGCGCTCGCTTACGTTTTGCCTCACTTTGACGCGCTAACTCGCGTGGTGATTTGTGCGTCCTCAAGCGTTTGCTTAGCCTGCGTAGCTGGCGGTATTGCTTGGGGCGGAGCCGTGTTCCAAAAAAAGGGAGTAGGGACGAGGCGGTTGAAATACCGCCTGCCAGAAAACCCCGATATTTTGAATAGTCCGCACACCAGCGTGCGGAGAAACGGATTGGTCGAGGGACATAAATATGTCAATCATGTTAGATGATCCTTTGCATATATTTCCCAATTAAGGAAGCAGATGGCAAACTGGAAAAGACGTAAGTGATTGTGGTTTCCCCTTTAAAAAGAGCATAATTGATGACCAATTGCCGAAATGGTGTCTTTAAACTTCACAGCGCTGGAATTGTCTTTATTTAGCCGTAAGAAACAAAGGTCAAAGAAAATTAAAACACTTTACAACTGCATCTGAGATCAAATCCTATCAGGAACACCTACAGAAGAATAAACCGCAGGAAATGGTTACTCAGTATGCATGTAACAAACTAGCTTCATGACCTTTTAATGTTAAGCCTAGTGTGGCAAACAAAGATTTACTCAGTCAAAGTTTAGAATGATACGTGCACTGCGTAGTGTTAGGAGCCGAGAAAATATAAAAAAACCTCTGTTCAAGCAAACTCACAAGGTCTGGTTTCACATTATCACGAGCTTAGGAGTCGTGTTTAGCATGTCAACGCTTATTTCTAAACTGTCTCGCGCGAAAATAATCGGAAGTTTCAAATTGCAGGTTTCTCTTTGATTGGCTGAGTTAACTGGGATCAGCTAAGGTGACAAAAGTGGACGGCATTCGAAAAATCATGGTTCTCTGGCAGGCGGTATTTCTCGCAGCTTCGCCACTCGTGATGGTTCCGCCGTCAAATCTCACTCGACTATATTACAACGGCTCTACCGCCAAATCTCACTCGACTACTACAAAATTCCGCCAGCTACGCAGGCTAGCGTTTGCTGAGGTCTTTTATTCTGTCTTCGTAAAGCGTTCATCTTTTAAAAGTTTCCTGAATCTTCGTAAAGCGTACATATTTCAAGAGTTTGCTGAAGGTCTACTATCGATATGTGTTTGCTGAATCTTTCAGAACGTTCATCTTTCAAAAGTTTCGGCGGCCGTTATGCCACAAAGTAAATCTACTGAGTTGTGTAGCTCGGCGGACGTTGTGCCACAAAGTAAATCTACCGAGATGTGAAGCTCAGCGCCGCCGTTTCATCATGACTTGTGATATTTTCGGCACGGGACAAACGAACATTTTACGCTTATGTTATTTATTCGTAAAAACTTATAAACAGCCCACAGTAGCTCCACTCAAGTCACCGAAATCAACACACTCGACCAAACTACTGAAATTATTGAGACGGACCATACGATATCACTAGCCTTCAAGGCTTTTTCATAACGATACACAGTTTAAATAGAGGTTTCGCCGTAAGCAATCCTTACGTTTAAAATATGCGATGATCAAATTAAAGCCCGGTTTCCATATGATCGCTACCATCGCTGTGATCGCTGCGATCGCTGAGAAAAAAAAAACTTCAGCGATCGCAGCGATCATATGAAACCACTCTCCATCGATCGCAGCGACAACGATCGCTGAGATATAAAAAGTTCTATCTCAGCGATCGTTAGTTGTAGCTGCGATCGCTGTAGAGTGGTTTCCATATGATCGCTGAACTTTTTTTTTCTCAGCGATCGCAGCGATCGTAGCGATCATATGGAAACCGGGCTTAATCTATCGCACCTGTGCAAACATATCGAAAGCACTCTTCTAAGCGGCTCCGATTGCTCCTAGTAATATTTCGGTTACGCAACAACGATTCTCACTCGTGAGCTTGGGGTACCTGTGGAGCAACCATGGATCACGTGATACCAAACTGACGACAACGAACGTACTACTTTATCTCCAAACAGTGGAAACAAAATCATTTTGTCATTTTAAAAGTTGATAGAAAACAAGCTTAACTGTCCACTGCGCCAATAACAAAATCTAAAGTGGTAACTTAAGACACTTTAATAGCGCATGAATGCATCAGTAAAGATTTTTCAGCTTGCCTTTTCCTGTATTTAAAAACTAAAGTGGATCAACCACTGATCAGGGGAACCATGCCAACGACAATTTTCGGAAAATATCTGTTCGGAAGACGATTTGAGATCTAGAATTTTCGGAACTTTTTTTCCAAAATTTCTTGCTAGTCTGCCTCTCCTAGGATTTTCGAACATCTAATAAATGGTATAATTACCCGTTTTTAACGGATTTTTACCCTAAAAAGGTCACCTACAATTTTTGAGAGCCTTTTTTCTAGCTGAAATTTTCGAAAAGGTAAGTTTTGATCCCCATAATTTTCGAATCACTAGACTTTCAGCTAGGAAATCCGAACAGATGAAAAATTTTTAGGGGGTAAAAATATGCCTATATCTACCGTTTAAATACTAAAATACGTTTAACAATGCTATGTTTGAGTGGTTTTGAACTATATTCTCGTTGGGTGCCCCTGACTGATCAACATTGCCTTCGACCAAGAAATTGACTAAGCTAGGACAACTTTTATGTCGATGAAGAAAGAATTTTCGTGAATGAGATGTTCGGACTATTGAGGAGTTTACTGGAACACACTGCTAGAGTAAAAGGTGGAAGGTTTTGGTTCAAAGTTATTCAAATTTAAACATTCAAGTTTACAATTCATTCATTTATAAGTACCTTCGCAAATATTCTTCGAGGCATGCATTGCAAAATCTGTGACCACATCTTGTAAGAACTGGCTCCTTCAACGGCAAATGACAAATTAAGCAAATAAAATCATCTTCAACTGCATACAAAAACTCATCGTCGTGACCTGAAGGCAACTGGATGTTGCGTTGCGCTTCCGCCATGTTACAAACCGAAAACGACGCTTCAAATCAAATTCTGTCGTCGCCAGCTGCAAATAGCTAATTAAGAAATCATTTATGGGTGGTAGGGTGGGTAGATAAAGTAGCAAAAG